GGAATTCCGACCTTGCTCCCAACACTCACATTCAAGCCATTTGTTCATCAAAAAACGGGCCACTGTCGCAACTCATCAGATCTGATGAATGCTGGCAGTGCCACAAAAACGTCACTCAATAGCTCCAAAACGGGCCGGTGTCACAACTCACCAGATTTGGTGAATGCTGCCACCCCCACAAAACCGCGCTCGATTTCATCAAAAACTGGCCGGTGCCACAACTCACCAGATTTGGTGAATGCTGGCAGTGCCACAAAAACGCGCTCAATTTGGCCAAAATCTGGCCGGTGGCGCAACTCATCAAATCTGATGAATGATGACACCCCCACGAAAAACGCGCTCAATTTCATCAAAAACGGGCCGGTGGCACAATTAGTCAGATTTGACTAAAGCTGCCACCCCCACAAAACCGGGCTCAATTTGATCAAAAACGGGCCACTGCCACAACTCGACAAATCTGTCGAATGCTGGCAGTGCCACTACAGGACGCTCAAAAGCTCCGAATTGGTGGCCCGGGAGCACCCCATGTACAGATGCTTGAGCGTGAAGTGCGGGCTCTCCACATCGTAGAGCCAAACCCCTCCCTCTCAGGGTCAGCCCCTGAACCGAAGCATAGGTAATTGCGCTGCAGAGCCGAGTGTGCTTCAGCAACTCCGGGCCCGCAAAGCATTGCCCGCTCTCCAGGCGGACGACGTCCCCTTCCACGGCTTCCACGGTCAGGAAGGTGCCCTTTTGCACTTTGCCGCCGGCTCCGATCAAGCGCAATCCCGGCCAGACCCTCATGGTCTGCAGTGCATTCGTCGGCACCGCCCCGCGAGCCTCGTACTGCACCACCAGGGCATCGGCGGGCGCAAGCCTGCGGTTCTCCCGCTCGTTGATCTGCAATCGCTTCGCGTGGGAGATGACGAGGCTCACATCGGGCTCAAGCGCCGCCGGGCCTCCCGCACCGCTTCGGGCAGTGGCACCTGCTCTGCTTCGTCCACTCGCAGCCAAGTCAGGAACTCGAAGATCCGCTCGTCGAAGCGCCAGCGCTCCGAGAGCTCGTGGCACCAGCCGCCCGCCAGGTCGTGCAGCAGCAGCTGGCTGTGTTTGAGCTCCTTGCACACTTCAGCTCCTGCGAAACTATCCAGCACCGCGGGCAGCTGCCTGAAGTCTCCCAAGAGCAGAAACCGAATCTTCTTGTTCATGCTCAGACAAGCTATGTCAGCCCACAAGGGGGTATCTAACTGAGTGAGCTCTTCGATGACCAGCCAGGTTGCGCTGCAGTGGCCGTTCCGCACATTGCGCCGCACCCAGTGGTCCGCCGTCTGCGCCCCCAGGCCCACGTTCTGCACGGCCGCATGGGTCTTCGTAATAATGTGCACCGTGTCCCCGTGCTCCCTCAGAGCCTCGACGATCCTCTTGGCCAGGTGGGTCTTGCCGGTCCCTGGAAAGCCCGTCAGCAGCAGGCTCTCGCCGTCCAGGCAGTGCACCACAGGGTCCTCCACCCGCCGCCACGGCGCTTCGGCTCGGATCGGCTCGGGACGTCCTGCATCACAAGACAATCCGTCTTGATGCATTTGAGGTACCGCCGGGGCACCTCCGCCAGAGCCTGGCGAATGCGCGCCAGCGACGTACTCGGCCCCCATGATGTAGTCATGCACCGGGCGATAGCTGCTGTTCGAGAGCAGCTCCGTCACGAAGACGTGGTCCCAGTGCATCCCCCCGGCCGCATCCGTGAAGGTCTGGCGCCAGCTGCAGCCCTCGCCGTCTACTTGGTGATTTGAAGTCTTCATACTGTAGACTAATTCTAGATTCCGAGCAAACAGACCCACGAGGCTGTTGATGGCCAGCTTCGCATAGTGCTCCTCGCCTTGCGGCCAATTCTGCTCCATGCGCTGCAGAACCTGTTCCAGGCACTGTTGGTCGACGTGCGCTGTGGCGTCGAGGCTCCACGTGTTGCCACTGGGCCATCCCCGCCTCCAGCATGTAGGCGCACACGGGCTTGGCGTACCACCCTCACCCCACGAAGGGCAGCCGGTCCAGCACGCCCTTGCGGTGGTCGCAGTGCAGGTCGACCCACATGAGGTCCGCCAGCTTGCCCTCCTCCGTGGGGACGATGCAGTCCAGGGGGCAGAACACCGGCAAGGGGAAGCGAGCATTGGCCAGGCCGTTCTTTCGGCAACGGCACACATCGATGCCCTGGCAGGGTCGGTCGAGATCCCAAGTTGGAACACCAGCGGCGGCAGCCTGGGCAAGGCCGCGTAGTTCTGGTACACAAACCGACAAAACCGGCTCTCGAGGGTGGTGCTGTGGTTGCCCTCCAGGCTCGTCTTGGTGCGATGACACTCCAGGCACAAAGCCTGCAGCTCCTGCTGCTGTCCGGAGAAGGACTGGGCCACGGGGATGACGTGATCGATCTCGAAAGTGCCCAGACCTATCGGTGCGCCGCACAGCTTGCACATCCCCTGCTGGCGGGCGAGCAGCTCCTCCCGGCGGCTCCGGTGTCCTCGCGCTTCCCCTGCAGCAGGTGCAGGAAGACCTCCAGGCTGGCTCCGGCCAGGCGCTGTCCGCGATAGGGCACCCCCAGGCGCTCCGTCCACTGCTGCAGCACCTGCGCATCCTCGCAGAGCTCCCGGATCACACAGTCGGTTCCACCGGCAACCCTCAGCCGCAGAGCGGACCACTCGCACAGGCCTCGCATGGAAACCTTGGGGTGAAGAAGTATCCTGATTTGATCTCTCCCTCCCAAGCCTGCCACTCCTTGAACTCCGGCACGGGATTGTCGCGCCTGAGCCGGCGGAAGCGCTGGCGCTGCTCGGACTCGTCACAGCCAGCCACGGCCCGGGCGCTTCTGTAGACATTCCAAGAGGTAAATGCTATAGCTTTCTCCTCCTTCTCTGCTGGTTGGAAGCAGTCCAGCAACCGGCCCCTGCAATCGACGTAGAACATGGGAGCGTTGCGCCACACGCAAAAGGCGCGGATCTCTGCGGGGGAGACGCCCCGCTGCTGCCAGTTCCCGGGACAAATGGAGTTAAAGTCTTCCATGACCTCCTGCAGTGGGAGCTTCAGCAGCTCCGCTATCTGTCTGGGCACACAGAGCATGTCCCGGCGCTCCTCAAAAGCGCTGGCCAGGATCTGGTCCCCAGCGAAGAGCTGGTAGCTGACCTCCTTGAGAGCCCCCAGCGGTTGGCGAAGGCGGATCTGTGTGTCCACCCGATTGTCGATGACCTGCATGCTCGAGGAGCTGTAGGCCTACTCGTTGGTGGGGTGCAGGAAGTAGACCTCCCCAGAGATCATGTAGATGGGTTCGTTAGGCCCCGGCTGCCCCAGCTGTCGGAGCACGGAGTCCTTGACGTTGCGGGCGACCTGCGCCTCGCTCCAGGTGTGGTTCTGGCGGGACAGCCCCATCTCCAGCGCAGTCACTGGGAGGTAGTCATGGCGCTCGTAAGGAGTGCCGTTCCTGCGGCGGCCCCGAATGATCACGGGCACATGAGCCAACCACTCAGTGAATTTATCCTTGAAGAAGGCCTTTCCCAATTTGGTGACATGATACTGGCCGTTGGGCTGTAGGGACCTCACGAGCTTCCGGGCGCCCCCCCTCGTCAAGATGAAATCATTGGGTCCGTCCCTGATGAGAGGCTGAGATTCATCGAACTGGCGGCTCGGCGGGCGCCGGTGATGCTGTGGTAGAACTGCCCGGCGCGGGTCAGCTGACCGTTGGGGCGACTCAGAAGTGCGGACTGGGGGCGGCTGTCCCTCGGGGGCAGAAGCTGCGAGCCTTGCGCTGAGATCCGTGGTCTGGCCCCAGCGTCGGCTGCACGTCGTATCGCTTCGCGTTGTTGCATCCACGACATGATTTCTAGGAGCCCAGAAAAAAAATTGACCCCCGAACGCACTGGACCTGCCAGGCATCGCATCCATAATTAATTATTTAATTATTTATTTTTTCTGGCGGCCGGCGAGACCTTGTCATTCTTGTCATTCCTGTCATTTGGAGATGCTGGTCGGTAAAGTCCGGAAACGAGGACGATTCGCGGCTTTTTCAGCCTTACCGACGACCGTCTCCAAATGACAGGAATGACAAGAATGACGTGTTCTCACGCCTTGAGTCGAACCTTTGAGCCTTGAGGGTTAGGGTCGGGTTTTAAGGGAAATCAAAAGTCGTTGGAAAATCAACTGCATCTGACGCTCGAATGCATTCACCAAGGTTCCACACCAAAGCTCAAGCACTAAACGATCGAACATGCAGTTGCTCAGAATCACTCTTGAGGCATCGCGCAATCGAAGGCATACTCGAAGACCATTGTTTTCAATCGGTGCGTCGAACTGGATCTTGCCGTCTGAAGCCTGGACCACATGTTCACATGACGGTCGCAGTTGCCTCGAGACCCCCGGTGTGGGAGGGCGGGTCACAAAAGAACTTGAGTCGTAACTTTGCCGTGCAAGGATCTCGTTCACACTGTACAGTGATCAAGCACTCAATCTAAAATCAAGCCGAGGTAAAATCAAGCTCAAGTGAAATCGTCAATCACATGTCCGCAAGGATTCAAGCGTTCAGAGTCGTACTGTTTTTCCCCCCCACCCCCCCTCAAGGCTCTCGAACACACTTTTGGTAGGACCCAAGCAGCGTGTTCTCACGCCTAACTGCGGTTCAGGCAAGACTCGGGCATCGCAACGAAGTCCCGATCTGCGTCCGGAGTCGAACCTTTGAGCCTTGAGGGTTAGGGTCGGGTTTTAAGGGAAATCAAAAGTCGTTGGAAAATCAACTGCATCTGACGCTCGAATGCATTCACCAAGGTTCCACACCAAAGCTCAAGCAGTAAACGATCGAACATGCAGTTGCTCAGAATCACTCTTGAGGCATCGCGCAATCGAAGGCATACTCGAAGACCATTGTTTTCAATCGGTGCATCGAACTGGATCTTGCCGTCTGAAGCCTGGACCACATGTTCACATGACGGTCGCAGTTGCCTCGAGACCCCCCCCGAAGGAAGGCAGCCAGTCCGACATGTGAAGGATCACCAAGGTGTTTTGCTCGTCTCCTTCTCCCGGCGAGACATTGCCGACTCCCTCGAAACCAATCGCTGCAAGCTGACACGCGAATCCAAGAAAGCACTCCTGGAGTGGACCATGCGAAGGAAAATATCAAGCGGCAGATCGTCCAGCTTCAAAGGAACTCTCAGCTCCGGGCAGAAACTCGAGAAGTCGTGGTTGGTGATGGCATCCGACAAAGTGTTCTCATCTCTAGGCCTCCACTGCAGCGTGAGCTGCTTGTTCACTTTATGCAAAGCCGCTGCACAAGCCATCTGGATGCCCATCAACGGCCACTTAGTGCTCGAGCCCTTCTTCTGCAGCTTGCCAGTCGAAGAATTGTCAGTTCCGCCGCAAACCACAGTCCTGATGTTGTCGTGCACACCCGACGTCTCCTTTTCCAGGTGATCAAAAACTTTCAACGCAGCAAGCGAGGCCAGCAACTCCGCACTCGTCGATGCGCATTGGCTATCGCCGTCATCTTTGAAGAGGCAAGGCAGATCCTGTTGCGACACATCGAGGCAGAACCAGCGTGCAACTGACGGGTCCGTCCCATTCTCAAGCGAGTAGCCGCCGAGCACCACCAAGCCGTTTGTGCATTTTGCATCCGTCCTGAAACTCTCGCGCGGCGCCCGCCAATCCTGGAGCACGCTGTGGAGTCCCCTGGACTCCGCAAGCTGTTCCCTGATATAAACAAGCGACACGAAGACCATCTCCGGAATCCTCGCCACAGTCCCCTTCTGCAAGACGGCATCAAAAGCATACAGCGGTGCAAGAAAAGGTTTGATCCAAGTCAACACCCTGGAAACAAAGTTGAGCCGTCCAAGGAATTCGGCAAAGCGCCGACCCGTGACGAACCAGTTGTTCGCCTCGGCATTGTCGATCCAATCAAGAACCCAGCGCGTCCTCTTGAGCGAAATCCCGGCGGCACTCTCTCGGTAAGAAAGCCAGTAGCCCACGAACTCGCATTCAACACCACCGTGAAACTTCCGGTAAGAAAACGGCGTGCCCAGCACCTCGTAAGCAGCCAAGATCATCCAGAGCACCACGTATTTGTCGGGACCAGTCACCACGATATGAAGGTCATCAACGTACACAATCTGCACATTCCAGAGCCGTCCCATCACTCTCAAGACCCAGCGTCCGATGCATCCGAACAATCTGGCCCAAAGGATCGCAGCTGAACTTACCCCGAAAGTTCCTACGCAATTAAGCCAAATCACTTTAGATGCAGACGAAGTCCGGCAGCCCAACAAGGGCCAGTCGCGTCGTCGTATTTTGGACCTCCTGTGTGCCTTGGCAATGTCCGCCGCAATGGAGAAGGGGACGCCGAAATCCTGCCGCGCCCTGGACACGGTCTCGATGATTTCCGCAGGTCCAGGCACTTCGAGTTTGTCTGCAATCCTTATACCATTGTTCAAGCGGACGCCGTGGGTGGCGTCGTGAAGAGGGCGGACATCACCACTTGGTTTAAGAATGGCCCCCATGGCGGCCACCAGAAGTCGCCCCTCGCCGTACTCCGCCTTCACGGCCCCTTCAGTCGTCGCCACCATCAAGCCTTCCCGCTCCTCAGCCCTGAAGTGCTCTTCGATCTTATCTGAAGACAGCTCGGCAGAAGAGTAGTTCTGCATCTGCGGTTCAAACTCACTCTCATCCAGCTTGCGGAAGCGGTCCCTCGGCCGGAACACCTGCGGCGCCGTTGGCAGTGGCGAGTCGAAGCCCACCGGCATCCCCTCGGCATAACACTCTTCCCCCTGCACAAGAATCTCCCAGTCGGGGTCACCAAGTAGCCTCAGCGACTCGGCCAGCAAGTACAAGTGGAACGGCTGCCGCTCGGGAACACGCAGCAGGTCTGAAGGCGCCCCTGGGATCAACCCGACGATCCTCTGCCTCAACTTCTGCAAGGCAGACTCCGCGAAAGGAGAATTCTTCACATGGCCCGTCGCGAGACGGAACGCCATGTCCTTGGGGTCTTTCAGCTGATCAATCACAAAGTCTCGTAGCAATCCGCGAATTCCCTCTGCATGTGCCACCTCATCACTCGACGCCAACTTCTCTCTCGCCTCGGGAGCCCAACGGCCAGGCGAACACAACCCGAAGCCGTCCACAAACTCTTGCTTGCCCATTTCAAACTTGCAGATCATGGGCTGCCCGAAAGCGCGACTAGTCTTGGGGTCAAAAGCTTCCCTGGCCGACTCCTCATGATCGATCACCACGACCTCCTGAGCATCTCCAGTGCCTGAGTTGTCTATCGCCGGCACTGCTGCAGCCAAGGTGAAGTTGTCTGAGGAAACGAAGGATTCCGCTGGTGCCTCCCCCCCCGCAGGAGAGGAATCCAAGACAGGAAAGCCCAATGAAGCCAGAAAAGCCGAATCATCAACAGAGAGCAGGTGCATGTTCTGAGGGGTGTATGCAATGGCGATGAGACGATCCCCAACCCAAGGTTGGGTAGCATGCAAACATCCACGGGCATCCAGGTAGACGGGTCCGTCTTGTAAGGAGTGTACAGTGCCTGTGACGGGCGAGCCGTGAAAGGATCGCACCTGGGTACCTGAGTCATCCTGTATCCAAATGCCACCATCAGTAAAGGAGGAAATTGCCACAATCATGTTGGGCACAGCTGCATTTCGCGGATCACGATGAACCTCACTAGTCACGTTCTTTGTGAGAACAAAAGCAGCGTAACGGTGGTGCGGGTCCACGGAGTGAAGAAAAGCATTGATCACACGCATGGACTCGGGGAATGTAAAACAAGTGGACCGCGGTGCGGTGAGACCCTCCTGGTGCACAGTGCCTCCAAAGAAAGCGGTGCCAGGTGCTGCACTGCCCGTGATCTTATGAGGCCGAGTCTTAGGAAGCAAGTCGAAAAGAATCTGAACTGAAGCACGATCGAAAGAACCGCGTGCGATGCACTCCGTGGCAAAGGCTTCGGCGGATGAAGGGATGTTGGCTGGGATCAGGTCGGAGTCAGCCACGGCCCTCAGCTCAGGCATCACACTCAAAGAGAGACGGGCGAAGAAAGCAGCGAACTCCGAAGGGTAAGCCGCCGTGGCGGCCGATTTCCAAGTGCCATCCTGAAAACCGCAGGCTCGATCTGCATGTGAATGCGGACAGCGCAAGAGCGGCCCCACGTAGTCCCCGTCATCATTGAAACATGGCATCTGTATCCCAAAGTTCAATGCTCCGGGCAGATTGGATAACAAGCGAGTGGGTTTGCAAGACATAGCCCCGAAAAGGCATTGATGCAATGCCCAGCAACTGACATCGCCTCCAGCGCAAATCTGACGAACCTCATCAAAAGACCAAATGGAAGCAGGCCTCTCACCAGACGGCACACGGCCCAGATCCTCAGGGTGCTCAAGAATGAAGTACAAGCCCTGCTGCCTCTGTAAACGGATGGCCTCAAAAGATTGTTGCACGAAGAAATTTGCCAGCTCAACTTTTGTGCGATCTGAATCACGCAACCAAGGAAAACCCAGCAGATGGCCATGTGAACGAAGTGGGCGTGGGCCAAATGCCCCCGCAAAACGATGTCTAGCCCGCGAAAAAGTGGAACAAGGCGGGCTCAAAATAAGGATATCATAGGCTCCAGACGAAATGTCCTTGAAAAGACGCTCCCAAAGCCTGTGCGACGATAGGTCCTGTTCAGGACCCCGCAGCAAATCAAACTCATGCAAAATTAAATCCAGTCCCCGCGACGTGCAGAGCTGCTGTAAGTGTGATCTGATATCGCCATCCCGTGCCTGCCCAGCGAAAAGATACAGCACGGTGAGTTTGGAACGTCAGTTGGTGGCTTGCGCCCCGGTCGGTGCTGCCGCCTTTGCTGCCAAGCTCTGGAAATGCTGCCACATCGGATGGGACTGCATGCACCCTCGGACGCGACATACATGAACTCGACCGCAGCTGCCATCACAACCCTGAGCGTTATATGGAAAACAAATCTGACGTCCATCCGGCGTGTGTGTCCAGAGCGCATGATCACTCTTGCCCTTGCCACCGCCGAGGCCCTTGCCATCGCCCTTGGATTCATCGCGGTTGGCCTTGCCCCCCTTGCCGTTCTTGCCCTTTCCATGGCCACGTCCTTTGCCTGTTCGCTGCCACTTGGCCGGGCTCTCGGACCAATCATTGTCCCACTGTCGGAACCGTCGCTGTGGCCAGAAAGGATCTGGCCGCGGTGGAGGTGCAACCTGCTGAAGGGCAATGGGCGATGTGAAATACTGCTCCTTGAGCTGAGCATCGGACGTCACCTCCACGAGTGTATCCTTCAAAGGCCGATTGCCCTGTACAGCCCGTTTGATTGCCTCCTTTCGCAACTCAAACTCGAAATTCAGCAACACTGACCAAGGGGGCCGCAATGGTACATGTTCGGTCTGATTGCCCTTGCCCCCTGCCATCGGCACCTTCATAAGGTAAACCTTGTCAGACAGCAGAAAAGCAACATACTGATTCCAGCACTCGGGGTCCATGCCTCGCAAGAGCTCGCGGTTGCGATACTTGGTCGCCAAGAAGCACCACAAGTTGCACTCAACACGCATCACCGTGCGCAATTCCTCAGTGCCCTGAGGCAATGATCCCTTGACCTTTGTCCGCACGATGCGAACATGGCCTGAAGAATCGACTGCAGTCTGGATCCCCTGAGTCTTCACAGTCTTGCGTGATGTAACCTCGGACAGCGGCGAAGCCGTCGGCTCATGAGCCTCAAGCTCCTCCATCTTGCATGAGATGTAATCCTCGGAAGGCTCATGTGCATCTTCAAGCCTGCCGTGGGTCGCCTCGAAGGCGGCTCTCATCGCACTCCGATCTGTCTGTGTGACGGGCCTTGAAACCCCCAACACGCGCGCTTCCGCGCGAAGCTCCTGCTCTTTCGCGGCAAATTGTTGACATGCCTCCCAAGCACTAATCACAGCTGAGATCCCAGCGCGCTTATCAAGAGTGGTAGGCTCCAGAGCGAAATCGTTCTTCAATGCATCTCGTATCCCTGCACGGGTGTCCTCATAAGACTGAAACCGCCTCACAGTCTTGAAAGACTGTGTGAGTTTGTACTGCAATCCAAGCGGGACTCCAGCTTCCTGAAGGATGTGTGCAAGTTCAGCATCGACTTCAGTGGACAAGAACTTCGAAGCCGCTTCCTCACTCACTCCAGCTGGCAAATCCATGTCTGGAACTCACTGCAAGCTACCACCGAACACACTGTGTGAAGAAATGCCACTGTGTCTGAAGAGTCTGATTGGCTCACCTCAATTCGCACAACGTTAAGACAAGAAAGACATGTCAAAGCACTGCACCTGATACTGACGTGACTGCGGCTCTTCTCAATCTGATGCAATGTCCCAATCTGATACTCACGGGACGTGGCACAACCGAAGTACTTCCTGCTTTGACTCACGGGACAAGCCCCTGATGCGACGAAATTTTCACACCCCTCATGTGTCACGGCTCCACTGCATCTGAGGATGCGGACTCACTGCTGACCGCCCCTTGCTCCTTTAGCCGGGGCCTGCATAACTTACAAATTGCATCTGCAGAATCCTGAGTGATGCTGTACAAAGGAATGGTCTCCAAGCAACGCTCCTGCCTTACAGCACAAGTGCGTGACATGTGAAGACGTCTGTGCCCACTACGACTCACAACAACAAAGTATGGCGCATCTGCATCCTCCGGAGAAGGCGCCGGCTGATCCTTCGGTGGCTCGGCCACCGCTTGCTGATGGCTTCCGGGGTCAACTGCAATTGCCGGAAACTTTCCTTGAAGACTCCAGCACAAGTTGAGTGCACACCACACCATGACATTGTGGCGTGCAACAGCCCCGTTAGAAACTCCATGTTGCTCCGCAAACGCCTTTAAGCGAAGAAGCAGCTCCTCCTCGATGTAGCCGGGCTGGTTCTTCCCAGTCAAGAGTGTTTCGCACACCTCAGCCTGAACTTGCTGTATAATTTGTCTGGCCGTCAGCACATAAGCGGTTGACCCCTGCCGGGCAGCCGCCCACCGTCCGAGAAAGTCGCGCTTCTTTTCGTCGATCCCAATTGCTGCCGCCAAGGATGGGAGGAAATGCCTCGGCGAGTGCCCGGACCAGAAGAGCGCCAGCTCCTTCGGAACCAGCTTCGTTGTCTTGCTCAGACCCCAGACTCCATCTTTCTTCCCCGGGACCGGCAGCTCCAGGATCACACGTCGTACAAGGTTGGCGACGCCCTCTGCTCCAACGTACTCCCTCGATCTGACTTCCCACGACTCACCAATGTCTGGACACAAGAAATCCCGAGCAAACTTGAAATCCTCGCTCATCAAGAGTTTGCATGAATGCGCAATCCAGTCATAGCCAGAAAGGCTTATGCTCCTCACAAGGTATCCGTGCAGCTGCCCGATCCGTTTTCCAGGTCCAGAGGTCTTGGTCCGGGAAAGAACAAATTTCATTCCAAGCTGTGACAGCGTAACACTCGAAGGATCGATCCCCTGTATATCGTCACATCGCAGCGTTCCCCAACACATAAGCAAGAAAATGAAGCATCCGAACCGCAGCCCAGGGGGTGTCCCGACCTTCACCAGCAGAATCTCAGCCGAGAGCACCATTGCCACCGTAACGAGCTCCGCCTGCTTGACCGGCTCGGCACCTGTCTCCAATTGCATCGTCCATGCCTTCACAGACTCCACAAGTAAAGGATCCTCCGACAGCCTATCTGCTGAAGGCCTCTGCCCAACCAGCTCCAGCAAACCGAGGCTTGACAAGATACTCTGCGGAACAGTCTTCCCCATCGGCCTGATCTGATGCCTCTCATCAAAGTACTGCAGCAACAGCGATGCGTCTCCTGGCCAAGGTTTCCCGGTCGCCTGAATCATCCACTCGCGCACCGGCTCCCACGTGCGAGCCCGATTCTTCAAGGTCTTGCCGCGCCTGCTACCGAAAGCCCGTAGCCAGGCCGATTCCGCGTCAGCCAGCGACCCAATTCTCTCAGATGCTGGCAGATCCGCCTCCTGGATGTAGCCCGCGAGCTTGAGACCCCAGCGGCGCCTGCACAAGTCCTCTGCTTCCACACGCGCCCCTGTTCCAGCTTTGCGAAGCTTTAACTTCTTCTCAAGAGCAGCCAAACCCAGCACAGGGTCAGAAGCCAAAAGCCCCTCATACAAATCGGCAGCCGTCACACTGGGCCCACGACGGATATAAGGCCCACGTCGGACATTCTGCCCGATCTCGCGAACAGTCCTTTCCACTGTCCCTTGATGAAGCGCGCACCACTTATGCACTGACTCTGTAAGCGCCACACGATCCTCAATCTTAAGAACATCACTCATCGAATCATCCACGATTGCCTGTACATCCTCAAGCGTAGCTGCAGCCAAGCAAAAGTTTCCAATATGCAAGAAGACCTTCGAAACACGCTCGCAGAAAACAGGGTTGATTTCTCGAAGCTGCTGCCACTCCGAGCCCATTGCCGGAATTCACTCATGGTGAGCCATAGCGCCGGAGGTCCCCTACGCCCACCCACTCACAAAAGAACTTGAGTCGTAACTTTGCCGTGCAAGGATCTCATTCACACTGTACAGTGATCAAGCACTCAATCTAAAATCAAGCCGAGGTAAAATCAAGCTCAAGTGAAATCGTCAATCACATGTCCGCAAGGATTCAAGCGTTCAGAGTCGAACTGTTTTTCCCCCCCACCCCCCCTCAAGGCTCTCGAACACACTTTTGGTAGGACCCAAGCAGCAAGGTCTCTGGCCGGCCAGAAAAAAAATAAATAATTAATTAATTGTGGCCTCCGTCCCGGGTAGATCAGAAGGGGCATCGCTGGGGCTCCTCCTCGTTGAGCATGAGATCGGTCACCTCGATCAGCAGGCCGCACTGGCCGCTCATCATCCAGACCTGCCGGAGCTCGGCGCGCACCTTGCACTCCCGGTTGGTCAGGTCCCCGGGTTCATGCAGCGACTGCCCCTGGGCGTCCCACAGGCGCACCTGGTCCAGGCACACTTTGAGCTTGATGAAGCTGTTGCCTCGGGCCGAGGTCTTCAGGCAAGAGACGAAGCGACTCTCCGTGTTGTGAGGGGTCAGGGTGCGCCCGAAGAGCTTCGGAGCGGCTGGCCAGTTGCGCCACCAGGGCCTTCTCGAACCCCGCCAGCTCCTGCTTCGCCGCCTCGTTGGGCTCCAGGCACAGGGGCAGCCTCCTGGCGTCCTCGCCGTTGTAGGCCGTAGGGTGCCCCAAAATCCTGATCCAGTCGCACTGCCAGACCGCCGGGCCGCCAACACCGGGAGAACTTGCCGCCCTTCGGGTTCGCCAACAGGTCTCCGAGCTTGATCGCCATGCTTGGCTTGCTGCTCATGCTCCCTTTTCTCCCCCCAACAAAAAAAATGCCACCGGCCGAACGCACCTTCTCAGTGCTGCCGGGAGAGTGCCTCTGCGCAACTGTGGCCCTGGCGGGCGTCTTCGTGGCCCTGTGGCTCCTGTCCTGCCCCGGCGCACCGCCGCCGCCCGGCCACCACCCCATGCGGCTGCGAGGGCCGTGGCATGAGGGGAACGTAAAACCTAAATGTGCGGCTGCGTCTACGAGTGCTACAAAGCGCTTTGGTTAAATGGGAAAGGTGAAGCTCTTTCCGACCGCCGAGTACAGCGTCAAGCAGCCGCGAGACCAGGTGGTCTGCAGGACGCCCTCCAACGGCATCCTATACTCGAGCAGTACAGGGGCTGCTTCGAGCGCGTGTACATCATGAGCCCCAGCATTGACATGGACCCCCAGTGGGAGCCCGTGAAGGAGTACATTCGGAAGGACCTGGGGGTCAACACGGACCGCGAGCAGTGCTGGTGGGATGAATGGGACGAGGGGGCGCTGCGAGGAATCCTGGCGCAGCAGAAGAAGATCACCCAGCAGTCCAAGCAACTGGGGATGAAAAAACTCTACCAAGTCTTGATAGTTCTGGATGGTATGGCCGACTCCCCGCAGGTGCACAAGAAGACCGGGGACGGCATCCTTGACACCCTCTTCATCAGAGGGCGCCACTACTGCTGCAACACTTGGGTGTCCACGCAAAAGCTGCGCCTCCTGTGCAGCGCCGTGCGCGTCAACACCATGTGGTACGCAGTCTTCCGGCTGCGCAACCAGCTGGAATTGGATGTGCTGGTAGAGGAACTGAGTGCCATGCTCCCCAAGGACGTTTTGATCAGGAAGCCACCAGGGAGAAATACAGCTTCTGGTACGTCAACATGCGAGCTCCCAAAGAAGACATGTTTTGGGTGCGCTTCGATCGCAAATTCCTCGTAAACGAAGATGGGGGGGATCCCCTCAGCCAAGTGGTGGGCAAGCTGCTGGGCAACGGCCCGATCTGCGACAGTGAGTGCCATCATGTGCAATGCTGCACCAGCACGCAGGGGGTCGTGGACCCGCGGCGGCTGCCCTACCCGGAGAGGGTCCGGCAGGTCTCGGACAGCACGGCGTCCGACAAGTCGACGGGCCGCAGCTTCTGGCGACGTAAAAGAAAGATGAGCTGTACCGTGTACGTGGACTCCCTCCCGGAAGCGCACAGCAGGGGACGACTCCAGCTTCGAGTTTGACATCGGCGAGACGCTCCATCTGCAGACAGGAGCCAAGCTCTCCGTGTTCAAGTTCAGGGTGGCCGATGCTTTTCTGAGCACGGACAGGGGCCAGTACCTTTTTTGGATCGACGAAGCGCTGCAGACCCTCAACTGGGCGGTGCTCCCCATCGGGGCCTACACGGGAAGTCGCCTGGCCGCTTGGATCAGCAGCAACTTTGCTTCGGCGACGTACGTCGAAAGCACAAACGAGATCGGGGTTGCCTACGATGGCAACCGCCGCATACTCAACGATTACGAGATCCGGAGCCTCTTCCCGGGCACCGGGAGCTACCCCGCCGGCGCCACGCCGAGTCGCCCGCTCTCGATCAATCACCTCCTGGGCCCCAGTTTTATCGATGGAGCGCTGCAAATCTTCACGTTCGTCACGATGAACCCATACTCAGAGCTGCTGCTCAGATGCAGCACCCTCGCCACTGGCGCAGACATCAAGGGGCCTCTGGGCAACGACATCATCTGCAAAACGATCATTGATAAAGGCGTAGGGAATATCATGCAAACGAGAACGGATGAAGGGCATTTCGTGAAAAATTGCACGGCCCCATCACCCTGCGCACCCTGCGCTTTAAGCTCACCGATGTGGACGGAAATGTGGTGAATACCAGAGGAACATCTGTTTCTTTTGCGATTTTCTTGGACTACGACCAATAATATGTTTTATTTCATAGAAAAATGGCTGAGAATGAACCCGTGGACGAGCCCGCACCTGTGGCAGAGCCTGTGGCAGAGCCTGCGGCAGAGCCTGCGGCAGAGCCTGAGCCGGCTCCGGCCGCCGTGCCCCCGCCGGAGCCCGCCAAGCCCGCGGAGCCCCCCGCCCCCAAGCGGAGAGGCAGACCTCCAGGCTCGAAGAACAAGCCAAAAGCCCCGAAGACGGTGCCCGCCGAAGAGGCCGTCCCAGCACAAGCTCCCGAGCGTGCTCCCGCCGATCCTCCTGCAACGCGAGCAGTTCCTCCGAAAGCCGCCGAGGGCTCAGCCCGAGGCTTCGCAGCTCCAGCCCGAGCCCCCCGCGGAGCCCGTCAGGATGACGCCTGCGCAAGAGCGTGCCCTCAGGTACATGCAGCGCCAAGACCGGTACATGGAGCTGCTCACACGAAACACTCACGAACTGTAAAAGGATGATGCCCCTGGAGAGGCGCAATGAACCGCAAATGCTGCGGCAGTTCAGCCGCTTGTATCCGAGCTACAACCTGAATCCCCTGCTGCGCCGGCGGCACCAGGAGCTCGTCGAGGCGCAGGCCTTTTCCTTTCCACACGCACCGCTCAAGTAGGACGGCTGGCGCTAAGGTGAGCAGGAGTGATCCCGGCCACTCGGTTGGTGGCAATGTGATTTCAGGAAATCAGGATGCGAGCGAACCCAAGACCCAAGGCCAAAGCCAGCGGGCAAACAAAGCCCAGCCCCGACAACAACACACCACAACACAACCACAAGAGCAACGAACGACAAAGGAACCCACAACAGAACAGGAACAAAAGCAACACAACACAACAAACAGAACGAAAGGAACACGAACGAACAGACAGGCAACAGCGAACGAACGACGACGACGAGAACGAAGACAGCACGACAACAACCAACCGCCCAGAACAACCCGAACTGCAGCTCCATCCACGATCACATGAAAATCACACTCTCGGTACTAACATTGCCTCGCCACGAATGGCAGCAGGAGCAGGCGACCCCGACATCGCTGCGCACAGCTGCATGTCGACCAGTGAAAACGTTGTTTAAACAGTTGTGGAAACCAAGCCTCTACGCAGCATCAGAATCATCGCTCAAGGAGTGTGCTCAACATTGTTTGAGCAACCAGACAAGATACGTGTTTTTGAGGATATAAGCGAATGTTCGGCGCTATCAAGCTTGCGTGGGATACGACCATCATCGGTCTCAAAAGCATTCTCGAGTGCGCGCAGAGGCACCCCTGGGTTTACCGGACCCGGCACATCACAAGCCTCACAAAGGAGACCTCGATAATGACCTGAGGCTGGGGTGTTTCCAATGTGGAAAGCCCCCGCAATGACACGATATTGACAGTGATTCAAGTCCAGATTATTGTCATTGGCAAAAACCGGTATGCTAATGATCCCATCAAGCTCAACAATCCCTTCGAATTTGCTCACATGTCGGTGTGATCGCTGTCGGAAGCGACCGAGCTGCACAAGGATTAAGGGCGAGGCAAACCCCAAAGCATGAGCATCATCCTGCTGGCACCAAGCCTCAACGCACTGTTGTATGGTGCACGCATCCTCTGGAATTGGCATTGTGATTGGGAGATGCAAAGGGCCGCGATCCACTTCACGGCCCTCTGGGACTGCTGGGGTCCCAGCTCTAACTCTGGCAAACCAAAGGCCTTGCATCATGCCAGTCCGCAGCTTTGGCAATGCATGCATGGCAAACTCACCTATATCATGTTGTTGCTGGGGTCGTGACCACTGTTGCAAGACGGCGCTCCATGCAAAGACCCTCGACAATCGATCAAATGAGCCCGAAAGCAATGCCTGAACAAGGCCTGAGCATCGACCTAGTCGTGCATCGATGTGTTCCCCGACCTCACGTGTGTAAGCATGCAAGGTGGCCCATAGCCACGTCAACACGAAGGCATTTTGGTAACAAAGGTTGCCATGATTGTGCAGTTTTAGGGCCAACACCCGCCGGAGAGCAGCTCCTGAAGTTTCCGCGCAAGTGGATCTCTCTTCAGCCCCTGTGGTCGGAGTCTGGCACCCACCAGCATCCAAATCGCGGAGCTGCACAGGGTCTCCAGAGCCTCGTGAACCTTCATCGCCTCGAGACCTTTGATCGAGGTCTCCAGCTTGAACTCGAGCACCTCGCCGGTGTATTCCTCCGCGAGCTGCCGCGTTGGATGGAAGCGCTGCACGATCTGCCCGCTGGCCAATGCCAGCAGCGTCTCGAGCGCCTTCACCGCATCGGAGTGTGGGAGCGGTCCCACATCTGGACACACGATCTCCTTCTGCTGAGCCACACTCCAGACCAATGGCATCCAAGCTGGCTCCCGTCCGTCCTGCTTGACAATCCAATTGTATTGCATGAGCAGCTGCACCTTTTCCTCCACGCTCAGCACCGCTTTGGCCCGCGTGAGGAGTTCTAGGAGGATGCCCTTGAAGAGAGCCATGCGCTTGGGACAATCGGTCTTCCCTGCAGCCTGAAGTTCCTTCCATCGCATTGAAAGATCGTTGACTGTCGACAGCATGGTCTCCCCGCCTGTGGTCTTGAAGATCATCGTGTATGCTCGATCCGCCTGAAGAATGTTGATTGAGTCCTCGTGCCTCAAGCATAGCTTGGCTATCAGCGGGATCAGCGATTGTTCTGGAGCTCGCTCCGAAGAAGCCTCTGATGTCTCGCGCTGCCTTTTTGATTTGTTCTTGCCTTTGCCCTGGCCTTTCTGGAACTTTGCTGGTCTCTCTGGCTTCTTGTTGTCCTTCGGTCCCTGCATCTGTGCCTGCCCTGTCAAGGGTGTCGCTGGGGGTCTGGGATTCTTGTTTTGAGATCCCTGTGCTCCTGTTCCGCCCTCGAGCAAGCTGACTGCTGGTAGCACTGCCGCGAACAGAGATGTAACACCCTCCTTGGTGAGCTCGGTCATAAGCTCTGCAAGAAAAGGCAGCCTGAAACAAGACCGGGCAGCCAACAACATGCCTTGACTTCCTCGTGAACGGCTGCTCACAAAACTCACATGGAGTAAGGATGGCACCAACAAGTCCCCGGCAGTCGGCCAATGCAAGCTCTTGGCAATCGTCAAAGATGGCTTTGTGAGACTTTTGCAAGTGATACTTGATGTGTCTAGGATCGGAGAACCATTGCCTACAAAGACAGCATCGTGACATGAGTTCGCCCCTAAGGTCCGGAACGTTGCGTATCCGATCAAGAAGCGTCTGAACGCCCCCATGTGCAATGTCACAGAGAAGCTGCCCTCTTTGAGCAACAGGTTCAGGTTCGGGCAGTGGCTGTGATGGTGGCGGCGGTGGTGGTAATGAAGGTGGCGGTGGTGGCACGCTGCTTTCATCATGCACAATTGTTGCACCAGCTGTGGGCACACTCCCATCAGTTTGCAGTGTCTGGGCTTTTGGACGCAGAAGTGCACGTAGGGCCGGACATCTATCATTGGCCACATGCCTCAAAAGGGTCTGGAAATGATGAAAGTGCCGGTGACAGCCTCTGCAAATCGGCATTCCATCAATGCAAAAGTCTTGGCGGGACAGGGTGCTTATGTTAATTGGTTGGGCGGGCGCGATATCCGGGTGCTTACGGGATTTATGTTTGCGCATGGAGGTTTCGCAGTCGAAGTAAACACCACACTCAGGGCAGGCAACCCCTTCAGTAGGCACGATGCGCTCAAGGCGACAGCACCCTGTGACTGCGTCATTCAGCTGCTCACGTGCCCAAGTGGCCTGTGCAAGCATTTCCGGATTTTGCATGATAAGGTCTGGCGTGGCCGCAGCAAGGCCCAGGCGTTGCCGGAGATTGTCCACCGCCTGCTTAAGGAGCACAACAGGGTCTTGAAGACTGAGAAGGTTGTACACTTCCTGATTTGTGGTTTGCGTTATATGCCTCGGCGATTTTGCAATGGCACGAAGCTGCGTGTTCACGAGTCCCATCGCCTTCGACAGGACATACCCTGAACAACCACAACAGGTCCAGCCGTACACCAAAGTCGACCAAATGCACGCGCGCCAAATTTGAGCGCGTCTTCTCAGGCCCAGGCATCGGGAGGACGTTAACACACTGCGTAACCTGGAGAACTGTGTCTTGGCAGATTCGATGCGATGTTGCACCGTGAGACTCTCAAAGTCATACAAGGAGATCACACAGCCCAAGTACACGTGTGACCGACGGACTGGCACATGCAAAGGTTTATCACTCAGCCAACTGATGTAGGTGCCCTTGCTGTTAGTGCGCATGTGTTGTGTCAACAACCTGCGACCTTCGGGGTGTGCCATCCGAATGAGCATGGCAGTTTTGTTCACACTCACTCGCAACCCGAATGAAGCAAGTTTTGAAAGGAATTTGGGTACGGTCTGCAAAGCATCAAGGAACTGCTGCTTCGTGTGAAAAATTTTGCTCAAGAGAAAATCGTCGGCATAAATTTGAAGGTCAGTGAGAGGGATGATCGGTTCCAGCTGGTAGGCAACATAACAAGTGAAGCATGTCCAGATCAGCGGGGACAAAATACATCCTTGCCTGATGCCACGCTCAGTCACTATGCGAAGATTGATGTGTGCATGCTGAAGGTGGTATGTAGAGCCGGTGAGCCATTCCATAATGATGTGTACTTCGTGATCCCCAACCCCTGCAGCCAGCAAGGAATCTCTCACAAGACTTCTGGGCACAGCGTCGAAAGCCATTGACATGTCAAGCGACAAAATGTAGCCTCCTGAGTACGGCGCAGAGGTGTGCCCACTTCTGCGCGCAAAGATGCTGTTCCCGGCTTGCTGGGTGAGCTGCCTAATCTGTCGACATCTAGCAAACACACTCAACAGGGCACCCTCCGTTGATCTCTGCGGCAAGTAAGCGTGTTGCGGGCAACGGTATGCGTACTCCTGCACCTTGTGGCGTATGCTGCAGGCTAACAGTTTGATTACAGCTTTTCCACAAGGGTCTTGTAGACACAGAGGGCGGAAATCCCCAGGGCTGCGGCCTGGTTTCTGCGGTTTGCGCATAAGGAGGAGCCACCCGTCCTTCCAGTGCTGAGGAACGGGGGCTCCATTCCAAATGGACTGCACGCACTGTCTTATGCACGTACGGTGCTAGGATGCCTGCGGTGGCACGCCACGCCGCACCTGGTGCGAAGTGTTTCGGCACCGCTTTTCTGAGAGGGATCTGCCCAAGAGCCCAGCCAATATCCGCCACAGACGGAGTGGCTGTGCATTCATGGAACGCATGTTCCCATTGATCCTGGCTACCTTGGAAAATGTTCTGAAAGTGCTCACGGAGTCTATCGGCTTCATCAACCCGACTCAGGATTTCACCATCGGTGCCATAGATCTTCACCCTGCGAAATGGTTGTTTGGGTGCAAGTTGTCGAATGATTGCATACAGCTTATGGGTGTTATTCTGCGACGCAAACCTCTCAGCTTCGATCAGGAGATGCTCAAGCGCTGCTTGCGTGCCTGCCTCGAACTGCGATTCGCTTCACGGCGCAATGCGCGAAATCTAGCAAAGTGGTACCAAGCCCGCCATGCACTGGAAAGGTGGGTAGCCGCCTGTTGCCGGTACAACTTGCCCAATTGCAAGTGCCTCCACCTGCTACGCACAATCTGCTGAACTTCATCTGTTTGGTGAGCGTACATCCGCCTAGCTGGAACCGCCGGAAAGAATTGCACACCGCTCTCATAGAGTACCTGGTGGAGGTCCAGTGTGCTCGTGATCACTTGAGTTTGCAATTGTTGCCTTACTGCATCTTGGAACGCATGCAGCTGGGGCGTGTGCCACTGGACCGCTTGTGCCAAAGCATCTGTGTCCACACGCCGACTGGCATGTGTGCGGGCTTTAGGCTGCCACCGATAGTCAAGAACAACGGCCAATGGCCTATGCAGGCCCGACTGCCGCCAAGCAGTAACCGGGAACGCCTGGAGAGGCTTGCATTGTCGCATGCGATTCGTAACCTGATGCCGCCGGGCAAAAATGTAGTCGAGTTGAGTGCGATGCTCCTGGTGTTCGAAGGTGAACGCCTGTCTGCGCGGACCTGACCAGGTGTTGAGGGCTACCAAGTGCCTAGCAATCATAACGTCCGTGAGTGCCTCCATGTCTGGTGCTGATTGGCGATGTCCTGCCACATGCACCGTGCTATTGCCGACCATCCCGGGTGAAGGAGCAAGCTGCACATTCCAGTCACCGGCACAAACACAGACGTTACGCCACGGGACCTGCTGAAGGCAAGAGTCAACCCTGTCGAGGATCCTGGCACGTTTGCGCCGAAGTTCCGCAGCGTCTGCTCGCTGATCCCAAGCGTGCTGATACACATTGACAACATCAAGGCAGCTGGCACCTCCCGGAGCCGGGATTCTCGTATGAAGTACCCGGCCTGGGACAACTTCACTCGTTCGTATGTCCTCTGCACTGCACAAGTCCTTGGATATAAGCGTCATAACCCCTGACCCTTTCTGTTTATTGTGTCCCGAATGCACAATGAACCAATTGTCGTTCTCCCATTCAGAGCTAAACTGCCACCTAGTTTCCTGAAGCAAGATGATCTTGATATTGCGATGCTGGGGGAGGGATAACCAAATGAGGAGTTCATCAAGAATGGGGTTAGACAGACCCCCAACATTCCAGCAAAGTAAGCAAACATCTGTGCCACGCGTGTCAAGTGTGGAGCGACGCCTTGTCTGTGAAGTAGCCGCCCCTGTCTCATCTCGACCTTGCATGCCGGCCAATTGCTGCAAACTAAGGGTGCGTCCTCTATACCTGGTGACTCCCTGGGTCTGCGCACGAACCATCGCGCGCTTGTAGGCTCGTTTCCTGGCTTGAGTAAAAACTGGCTGGGTTCTAATGTCTGATGTCCCACATGGCTTCGCCGCCTGATGCGACTGCCTACTTGGATCCGGCTGTTCTCGGACTCCAGCTGCCGGAGTGGAATCGGCAGCAACCCTCGCACTCATAGCAGGTGTGACGCAAGTCAGCGCGATGCAAATCATCATGAGCCATGTGTGCGCTGCAAAACCGAAGTGAGGCCTGCGTCTTCTGCTATCCTCGGATTTGGGACCGAGGCGACTCCTGCTGTTGGCATCTGGGGGTGGGGTGTTGGCATCAAGAGGGTGATTCGGGTAGTGCATAGCTGCATGCCTGGGCTGATTGCGCTTCTCTGATTTCCAATGACACAACCGGAGTAAGCCAAAGCAAGCAAACCAAAACAGTCGAATAAGACCAATACATGTGTGTATGACAATGATCAGTCCTTTACGCTTGCCAAAGGGAACGCACATCCAATCTCTGGCCATGCACACTGCATTGAAGCGCTGTCCGTCTGGAAGCGCGCGCACACGCGCTGCAACACTGTCACACTGTTGAGCTTGCACATGGGGCTGCAGCACAAAGGAAGTTGGTTCAGTTATGCTAATCAGCCTCAAAATAAAGCACCGTGGCATCGGACTCAGCTTCCGAGGCGGCATCTGCAACAGAGGCCCCGGGGGCCGCTTCATCTGAATCTGATACAATGATAACCTCGAAGGGGCCCGAAGTTTCGGCCGACCTTTGGTACACTTCAAGCTGTGCAAGACGATCTGGCTGCATCCGCGCTTCAAGTTGTGCAATTTCGGCATCAATTGCCGGCAGTAGCAAGGAATACACTTCTTCAAGGTAGGCTGTTCGACACTCGCCGTCCAGAAGCATACAGAAAACTACAAGCACATGCCTTGCATCCCGACCTTGCACCTCGCTCTGGATTTGATCGAAGACTTCAGTTCTTGTTGCTGCGCAATGCTCATGTTGACGGAAGTAGCAACTGATGCCCGAGTCAACCAAAGCCCACAGTGGGAACTGCACAAGTTGTACGATGTAAACCAGGTATGCAATGTCGAGGCTCTGTGCTGGAGTTGGCTCTCCTGCTGCCCCTGCTGTGCCTCGTTCTCTGCCCGTCTGTGAATGGTCCATGATGTAATGCCAGAAATGCAAATGCTCAGAATAAGCGCAAGCCCTCCAAAATTCAATCGCTTTGACAGAAAAGCTGCAGTGCTGTGTCAACCTGGCAGAAAACTGATCGTCTCAATGGTGGAGCAACCAAGTTAACGCACGATGTAAGCAGCAAACCGTCAGCTGCAGATAAAGGAGACTCCAGAGGCACCGACAGGGCTGGAGCTCCAATGGCACTACCCCCACTACGCACACCAAGGGACGGCCCTCGATGTCCTCCAGTGCTGGCCGGGGGCGCCCAGACACCAGCACTGGGAACTGCCAAAACTACCCCGCCCCAAAACACTACAAACAAAATTGAGCCGGAGTGCTTGAGGCGCAGGCCTTTTTTCCTTTCCACACGCACCGCTCAAGGTAGGACGGCTAGCGCTAAAGCGAGCAGGAGTAATCCCGGCCACTCGATTGGTGGCAAAGCCCATGTTTGAGATCACGATGCGAGCAGAAACCAAAGCCGAAAACCGCAAAACCCCAACACACACCAAGCCCCCGAAGAACAAAGAGCACCATCAGTGAACCCAAAACAAGGGCAATCTCATCCTACGACAATGCTCCGTCACGTATGACTGCGAGCGTCCCTGGCACCGCTGCGGACAGCTGCATGCCGCCAGTGAAAACGTTGGTTAAACAGTTAAGGAAACCTAGCCTCAACGCATCATCAGAATTGCAGCTCAATGAGTGTCATTGTTTGAGCAGCCACACGAGATACATGTTGGTAAGAATCAAGTGATGCTCAGTTTGCTCAAGCTTGCGTGGGATGCGGCCATCATCAGTTTCGAATGCGTTCTCGAGTACACGCAGAGGCACCCCTTGGTTGTCCTGACCCGGCACGTCACCTGCCTCACTCAAGAGGGCGCGGTAATGGCCTGATGCCGGGGTGTTGCCGATATGGAATGTACCAGCAATGACACGGTATTGTGCACAAGTTAACGTAAGGCTATGCCCATCGACAAAAACCGGCACACTAATGACCCCATCAAGCTCAATGGCCCTTTTAAGCTTATGCACATGTCGGTGTGATCGCTGTCGGAAGCGACCAAGTTGCACAAGGATTAAGGGCGAGGCAAACCCCAAACCGTGAACATCTTCTTGTTGGCACCAAGCCTCGATGCATTGTTGCAGGTTGCACGCATCCTCCGGTATAGACATCGTGATGGGCTGATGCAATGGTCCCCTGTCAACTTCGTGGCCTTCCGGGATCCCGGGAATCCCATCTCTCACTCTGGCATACCACTCACCTCGCATCATGTGTGTACGAAGCTTCGGCAAAGCATGCATGGCAAATTCGCCGATGTCATGTTGTTGTTGAGGGCGTGGCCATTGTTGCATGATAGCACTCCAAGCGAAGACCTTCGTAAGGCGATCACAGTTTCCTGACAATAGTGCTTGCACAAGGTGGGCGCAACGGCCTAATCGGTCATCGACGACATCCCCGACCTCACGAGTGTATGCGTGCAAAATGGACCACAACCACGACATGACGAACGCGTTTTGGTAACAGTGATTGCCGGGATTGCAAAGTTTTAAGGACAACACTCTCTGGATAGCAGCTCCTGGAGTTTGCGCGCAAGCGGGTCCCGCTTCAACCCTTGCGGACGTAGGCGAGCTCCCACCAGCATCCAAATGGCTGAACTGCATAATTGCTCCAAAGCCTCGTGGACCTTCATCGCTGCATCCCCTTTCAGACTGGTTTCCAGTTTGAATTCCAAGACCTCTCCGGTGTATTCCTCCGCAAGCTGTCTCGTGGGATGAAAACGCTGCACAATCTGCTCCGAGGCTAGCTCCAGCAGTGTCTCGATGGCCTTCATAGCATCCGAATGTGACAATGGGCCGACTTCCGGGCAGGGTATCTCCTTTTGCTGTGCAACACTCCATACCAACGGCATCCAAGCTGGCTCCCGACCCTCCGGCCTGGTGAGCCAATTGTACTGCACTAGCAACTGCACCTTGGCCTCCACCTCCAGGAGTGCCTTTGCTCTGGTCTGAAGCTCGAGGAGAACCCCTTTGAAAAGAGCCATGCGCTTGGAACACTCCGTCTGCCCCGCAGCCTGAAGCTCTTTCCACTTGACCGAGAGAGCGTTGATGGTCACCAGCATGGTCTCCTCGCCCTTGGTTTTGAAAATCATGGTGTATGCACGATCCACCTGAAGAATCTTGATGGAGTCCTCGTGTCTCAGGCAGAGTTGAGCAAGGAGTGGTATCAGGGAGCCCTCCGGATCTGGCGCCGAAGAAACTCCTGAGGTCTCTCGCAGCCTTTTGGCCTTTTGGTGTTTGCCCTTGCCCTTCCCGTTGTCCATCCCTGCATGCTGCCTCTGGAACTTGGCTGGTCTCTCCGGCTTTTTCGAAGCATCCTGTGACCCCTGTGCTCGACCTGACTGCGGTGTTGCCGGCGGCCTGCGATCCTGAAGCTGGGTCGCCTGAGCTCCCAGTTGGCCCGCTAGAGCCCCGTTCATGCTCACTGCTGGCAATACAGCCCCGAAGAGTGAGGCGACCCCCTCCTTGGTGAGTTCCGTCATGTGCTCTGCAGGCAAGGGCAACCTGAAACAGCACCGGGCATCCTACAGCATGACGCGGCTTTTTGGTGAACGGCTGTTCACAGAACTCACACGGACTACTGATGGCACCTGTGAGGCCGCGGCAGTCGGCCAAGGCTTGCTCTTGATGTGCTTCGAAGAGGGCTTTATGAGACTGCTTGAGATGGAGTTTGATGTGTCTGGAGTCTGAGAACCATTGCCTACAGAAGCAGCAACGCGAGGTAAGCTCGACCCTAAGGTCAGGGGTCGTACGCAAATTGTCGAGCAGTGTATGCACCCCACCGGCTGCGATATCTGTAAGTAGCGACACTCTTTGAGCCACAGGTTCAGGCTCCAGCACTTGATTGGGCGTACCGACGGCAGTGGCAGCAGTCTCAACTGACGCTTGCACATGACTGTGAGGTGTCTCTGCCTTTGGCTGCGAAAGCGCACGAAGAGCAGGGCATCTATCATATTCCACATGTTTCAGCAATGTTCTGAAGTGGTGGAACCTCTTGTTGCATCCTCTGCAGATTGGCATCCCATCTACGCAAAAGTCATGGCGAGAGAGTGTGCTGAGGTCTATGGGAGGAGCGGTAACAGTTACTGGGTGCTTACGTGATTTATGCTTACGCATGGACGTCTCGCAATCAAAATAAATACCGCACTCAGGGCACGCAACACCTTCAGTCGGGAGGATACGCTCAAGCCTACGACAACCTTTGGTTGCATCCTGCAGTTGCTCACGCGCCCAACCGGCCTGCTCCTGCAGTGCAGGGCTCTGCATGACAGTGTCTGGCGTACCAATGGCGAGGGCCAGGCGACTCCGAAGATTGTCAAGGACCTGTTTAAGGAGCTCAACCGGGTCCGGCATACCCAGCATAGCATATACCTCCTGATTACTGGTCTGTGTGATATGTCTGGGGGACCTGGCTACCGGACGGAGCTGCGTGTTCACGAGCCCCAGCACCTTGGACAACACGTAGCTGGAGCAACCACAACATGTCCAGCCGTAGACCAGGGTGGTCCAAATACATGTGCGCCAAATGCGTGCACGCCGTTTGAGGCTCAGACATCTGGTGGATGTCAAGACACTCCGCAGCCTTGAGAATTGATTCTTAGCCGACTCCATGCGATGGTTCACCGTAAGGCTTTCAAAGTCGTAAAGGGAAATGACACAGCCTAAGTACACATGTGTCTTCTTGACTGGAATATGGAGCGGTGTGTCCTGCAGCCAGCTCAAGTATGTGCCTTTGGCCGTTGTGTGCATATGCTGATCAAGCAACCTGCGCCCTTCGTGGTGTGCCATGCGTATGAGAAGGGCAGTTTTACCCACATTGACCTTAAGACCAAAAGAGGCAAGTTTGGAAAGAAATTTTGGGATGGTCCGCAAAGCTTCAAGGAACTGCTGCTTCGTATGAAAGATTCTGCTCAACAGGAAATCATCAGCGTACATTTGAAGGTCCTCAAGAGAAATCAATGGTTCCAATTGGTACGCAACATAACATGTGAAGCAAGTCCAAATCAGTGGGGATAAAACACATCCCTGTCTGATGCCACGTTCAGTCATGATTTTAAGGTTAATGTGAGCATGTTGCAAGTGATAGGTGGACTCGGTAAGCCATGCCATGATTATTTGCACATCTCGTCCTCCTACCCCCGCTGCCAACAATGAGTCACGCACCATAGCTCTGGGTACCGCGTCGAATGCCATCGACATGTCGAGGGACAACACATATCCTCCGGTAAATGATGCGGTAGTTTGTCCGGATCTGCGTGCGAAAATGCTATTGCCAGCCTGCTGTGTGAGTTGTCTGATACGGCGGCATCTGGCAAAGACACACAACAAAGCTGTTTCAGTGGACCTCTGAGAAAGGTACGCATGTTGCGGGCACCTAGATGCATATGCCTTCACCGTGTCTTTGATGTTGCACGCCAGTAACTTAACAACCGCTTTACCGCATGGATCCTGAAGGCACAAAGGACGGAAATCGCCAGGGCCACGGCCTGGCTTGTTGGGCTTGCGCTGTAGTACGAGCCAGCCGTCCTTCCAGTGCTGCGGCACACTCGCACCGCTCCAGATGGTCTGGACAGTCTTGTGCACATACGGCGCTAGGATAGTGGCCGCTGCACGCCATGCCGCACCTGGCGCGAAGTGCGGCGGGACCGCTTTCCGTAGTGGCGTTTGTTCTAGAGCCCATTGGACGGCCTCCAGTGTGGGCGGCTCGACGTGCTCATCACAGGCATGAGTCCACGGCTCAGCACTGCCTTGGAAGATGCTCTGAAAGTGTTCACGGAGCCGATCCGCTTCAGCTTCCCTGCTCAGGATTTCGCCTGCCACCCCGTAGATCTTGACCCTGCGGTAAGGCTGCTTCGGTGCAAGTTGTCTGATAATGGCATACAGCTTGTGAGTATTGTTTTGGGAAGCCTGTTTCTCAGCCTCCTGCAGAAGATGCTCGAATCGTTGCTTGCGAGCCTGCCTCGACGCCCGGTTGGCCTCACGCCGCAGTGCCCGAAACCTGGCAAAGTGATGCCAGGCTTTCCATGCGCTTGCCAAACTATCGGCTGCCTGTCGCCGAAACATCCTGCCCAATTGCAGGTGTCTCCACCTGTTGCTTACAATCTGCTGTACCTCCTCATGTTGATGAGGGTACTCACGCCTAACCGGAACCGCTGGGAAGTGCAGCACACTGCAGTCATACAGCACTTGATGTAGGTCCTGAGTGCTAGTGATCACTCGGTGCTGTAGTGCCTGCTGCACGTCCTCCCTGAAGGCTTGCAGCTGGGGTAAGCACTTTTGCACAGCAATGGCCAGGGCGTCAACATTCACCCTTCGACATGCACAGGTGTGAGCTTGGGGTTGCCAACGGTAGTCAAGAGCAACAGCAAGCGGCCTATGCAACCCTGAATGGCGCCACGCAGTGACGGGGAATGCCTGCAAAGGCTTGCACAACCTCATCCTACTGGTAACCTGGTGCCTCCTTACAAACACATAATCAATCTGGGTGCGACACCCCTGATGCTCGAAGGTGAACGCCTGTCTTTTCGGACCTGACCATGTATTGAGGGCAACCAGGTGCCTTGCAATCATGAGATCGGTGAGGGCCTCCTTTTCCGGTGCGGATTGACGCTGCCCCGCAGCGTGAGCAGTGCTGTTGCCTACCATCCCGTGCGCGGGGACGAGTTGCACATTCCAGTCCCCCGCGCATACACAAAGGTTGCGCCACGGCACCTGCTGGATGCAAGCATCCACCTTCTCAAGAATCCTGGCACGCATTCGCCGCAGCTCCGCAGCATCTGCTCGATTGTCCCAAGCATGTTGATAGACATTGATGATGTCTAAGTTGCTACGACCGCCTGGCGCCGGAACCCGGGTGTGTAATGCACGACCGGCTACGACTTCGCAAGATCTGACGTCAGCAGCACAACAGAGATCCTTAGAAATTAACGTCATGACCCCAGACCCCTTCTGCTTACTGTGACCGGAGTGGACAATGAGCCACTTCTCATTTTCCCACTCGGAGCTGAATTGCCACCGAGTTTCCTGAAGTAGAACCACTTTGATATTGCGATTCTGTGGCAAAGAAAGCCAAATGATGAGTTCATCAAGGATTGGGTTTGAGAGGCCCCCTACATTCCAGCTAAGAAGACAGACATCCGAACCTTGCTGATCAATAGGAGAGCGGCGCCTGCGAGAGAACGTGGACACCGATGGATCTCCATGACCTTGCATGCCGGCCAGCTGCTGTAAGCTAAGGGTGCGTCCCCTGTAACGTGTGTATCCCTGAGTTTGCGCACGAACCATCGCACGCTTGTAGGCTCGTTTCCTGGCTTGTGTAAAAACTGGCTGGGTTCGAATGTCCAATATCCCACTAGGCTTCGCCGCCTGTTGCGACAACCTTCCTGGATCCGCTTGTTCTCGGACTCCAGCTGCCGGTGTGGAATCGACAGCAACCCTCGCACCAACAGCAGGCAAAATGAGATGATGTGCTATGCAGATGATGAAGAACCAGAGGTGCACAGCTCGAACAGGTATGCATCTCCAAACCGACCTGCTGCCCACGGATTTGGGACCGTGGCGACTCCTGATGCTGTTAAGGCTCGGGGTCAGGGCGCAAGCAGCGCTCCCGCGCAGCGTATAAGGCGTCCGCTGAGTGTCGCACCGTTTGCGCGAACTTCTGCAAAACCATAGAACCCTGAGGAATCCCAGACAGGCAAACCAGCACAGCGTTAGCACTTCTAAGCCTGTATTGAGTCTGAGACATAGGCCTCGACGTCTCGGCCGCGCTAACACTCGCAAGTGCCCAGCAGGCTTGCACACACAGGTTGGGGGTTCATGGGCATTCATATGGGTCTGGGTCGGATGAGCAGGATTCTGTATCAAGCACTGTAGAGGCAGAGCTCTCCACTTCAGAGTCGCTGTCAGCCGGCATGGGATGCAGCAAGTCCGCAAGTGGGATAGGTCTCGGCATGCTACGGACGTGTTGTGCCACCAACCTGTAAATGTCATCATAAAACTGCTCTCGATGATCTCCCTCCAAGAAGTGACGAAACATGTCCAGCGTACCGGCCATATCTGTCTCAGCAGCCGCACGTTCCAGTTGCACAATAATGGCACGTCTCGCATCAGCGTCTGGGTTGTCGTACTGCTGAAAATATGCATGAACTCCAATGTCTGTGATAGCCCATTTGGGAATTCCACGAAAACAGAGATAGAATGCCAGTTGTCCTGTGTCCAATGCTTCGGAGATTTGCCGCTCCAGGATTGGAGTAGCGCGTCGCCTATCTTCACTGGCTGTGCAGGCGAAAGCCTGCGCACTGTTCCCTTCTCGTGGCTCCGAATCTTGCAGATATCTGAAAGCCTCGTCCATCCCGCCCTCGGCGCGGGTGCAGCGTTAAAAACCAATGCAGTCTGTCCAGTCCAGAAAAATTCACCCAGGAAACTGAAAAGCAGCAGCAATGGCAAAACCATGTATGAATGCAGAGCCGGAAATTGTTGTACGATCCAGGAACACGGCTGCACTCACTGCTCTGTATGTAAAAGGCACTCCAGAGGCGAAGCAATGCTGGAGATACCTATGGCTGCCCTCCACTACGCCACAGCAGGTCGGCCCGCTGCGCTACCTGAACCAGCCGGGTGCGCCCAGGCGCTGATCCAGGGAACTGCAAGACTACCCCGCCCCAAACACTACAAACAAAACTTGAGCCGTGGTGCTTGAGGCGCAGGCCTTCAACGAGTGGCTCTCCAACCGCCGCCTCCAACAGGAGGGTGCAACGTATGCGGACGAATTGGGCCGCATGACAGAAGCCGTGAACCGCCGCATCCCGCAACTGCGCTATGCTCCGGCGGAGCGGGCGGGCGTTCACAGGATGGCGCGGGACGTGGCCGCAGGTAGAAACACCAGCGACTCCCAGCTCTATGGCCGTTTTATGTGAAATGAAGCTCGATCTGAGGCTCGCGAAGCGCGATGGCATGTGGCTGCTCTCCAGTCCGGATGCCGAGATTCCCCTGGCCTACGAAGAGGACCTGGCCGACGACGACGGCCAGGAGATCCTGCGGCGGTGGACCCGCCCCCAGAGGGTCCTGGTGCGCTATGACCCAGAAACCAAGACGGTCCTGAGCTATCTGTGCGATCGTCCAGCGGGCTTCCGAGCGCAGCTACCTGGGCAAGCGCGGCCTCCACATAAATCATGTACGCGAGCCTGGCGGAGCAGGCTTCTGAGAGCGACTGGAGCCAAGAAGAAAGAGACCGCAGTGGTACAAGGAGCGCCCCAAAGACGAGGAGTACTACCGCATCCAGCGCGACCTCCTGCAAAAGGGCCTGACCCGCAAGGCCAAGCTCGTGAAGCTACCGCCGCACCAGGAGGGCGAGCCGGCATTGTGGGCCATCGGCCTCGAGGGCGCCTCGCTCTGAAGCTCCCGACCGCCAAGCAGCACCCGCTGCACATCAGCCTGGCCTTCGAGAACGAGCTCTCCGAGGAGCAGTGCAGGACGAGTGGGGCGAGGAGCGGGACACGACCCTGCACTTCCACAAGTTCACCAGCGGCGGCAGTGGCGAGCTCTCCCTGAAGTCGGACCCCGTGGCCAACTCGGACAGCGTCTGGAAGGCCCGGGAGAATAGCTACTATGGCCAGCGGAGACCGCTGCACATCAGCTTCTAAGTAAAAGATGGAGGAGCGCAGACAGAATGGTTTCCGCGTCCGGCCCTCCTTTGGTCAAGTGCTGGGCTATATCCAGGAGGGCGAGCCCCTGAACCTGGACCTGCCCAACCGCAAGGCCAGCATCTACACATCCAGTCACTTCTATCTCGATGATTACCCCAATGCCCCCGAGCCCATCAGCGAGGCGCCCATGCCCCACACTCAGTTGAACCCAGCGGATGCTTTCGAAACAGGAGATGAGGGCTACTCCGGAACTCCGTTTCCGGGCCCGCCGAGAGAGTTCACTCGGCCCAGCTTCCTGCCGGACTCCGACGACGGAGGCATGGACCCAGGCCAGGCCCTGCGCAACGACGGGCTCGATGCACCGAGGCCGCCGACGCTCGGAGGCCGAATGAGGGAGTCGGGCATCCAAGCGGCCGAGACGATCATTGCCGGAGGGGCTGCAGGTGCAGCAGCAGCCAGCCGGAGCTTTGCGGAGAGTCGGGCCTTTAATGCTCTGAAAGGCGGATCCCCAGGCGCCCGCCTGGACTGGGCCCGCCTCCGGACGAAGTGCCCGCGCCGCAAATCATCGGCAGGCCTTCCGAGAGGTGGAGCCCTTGCTGGAGCGGGCCGGCCAGAGAGCCGTGGAGGTGGAGCGGGCGGCCGCCCAAGACATCGAGGCTTTTGCGTCGCAGCACGTGGCAGAGGCGGAAGCCGCGGAAGGCTTTGCCACGGCCGCGGAAGCAGCGGCGGCAGGGGCCGAGGTGGGAGGCCTGGCCCTTGCGGGCGCAGGTGCAGCGATCGTGGGAACGGCCTGGGCCATCGAAGGCGGGCTCAACGCGGCGTCGCACATGATGGGCTGGGGAGCAGCCACGGGCGGCGGCACGGACTCAGACGCCTCAAGGGCCAGCCGCGCAACGGATGTGCAAACGCTGAATTCGATGCAGGAGTCTGACCACTTTTAGGTCCAGGAGCTGCGCCGGCAGCAGCGCCCGCAGGTCTTCAGGATCAACACCTCGGAGGAGGAGGAGCCCCAGGCGCAGCCGCAGCAACGCATCGTGGCTCAGCGGCGGCCGAGGGCGCAGCCGATGCCCTTCGGCTTGAACGCCCCGCCCATCCCAGTGTCTTCCGACAGCGACCGCATCAGCCGGCAGTCCCGCTCGGACCGCGGGCCCCTCGGCACTCAGCCGTCGTTCGACCAGTTGAGGAACGAACCAGAACTTGCATAGGTAGTAAAGGGTCATGCAAAACGTCACCGAAGCGGTGCAAGACGAGCTCGTCAAGAGCCTCGATTTCAAATTGGGTTCATCCAATGTGAACTACATTCAGAGTCGAAAAGATGTGCAATATTTCCCAAGTTCGCTCAGTACCTTCACTCCCACCACATCCCGAGTGGCAAGAATACCTTTGACCTCCGGGATGGATTTTATCGATCCTGAATCAGTCAAGATCGCCTTCCGGGTGCGCAACAACTCGACGACTCTGCAGTTGAACCCCGGCACCCAGGAGCCTTCCTGCTTCATCAAACGCGTCCAGCTCTTCGCTAATGGATCTCGGTGTGATGACATTGGAGAGTATGGGCGCTGCTGCCACCTGTACTCGCTACTGAAACCGGCCGAATGGTTTAGAAACAAGGGCATCACGGGCTTCTGGGAGCTCGCGGGAGGCACCCCGGCGCCCATCCCCGCGGAGAACTTCAAGGACGTCCTGATGGCGCCCACGCTCATCGGGATGTTCCAAGCCGGCAAGTTCTTGCCCCCTCAGCTGAACTTGGTGCTGGAGCTGGAGTTTGCAGAGGCCGCCGACGCCCTGCGCCCCGGCGAGGGCTCGACGGATTACACCATCGAAAACGTCCGAGTCCTGGCCAGCCAGGTCACCCTGGACTCGGCATTGTACGAAAGCTACCAAAAAATCCTCCTTTCGGGCCGCAGCCTCGTCTTCGCGTATCCCACGATGCACACGCAGGTCTCCAGCATCCCCGCCGGGAGCACTTCTTTCAACGTTACGGTGGCTCGCGCTTTCACAAAGCTACTATGCGCCTTCGTCACCTTCCGGGACGCGGACGATTTGCTCGGCGAGTGCCGAGCTGGTCCAGGACGAAACCAACGTCGTGGTCACGACGGACATGGGGAACGAGTTTCGGGGTTTGGAGGCGGCGCTGCCCGGAGGCGCGGTGCACCGCCAGAAGGACCCCTCGGACCGCAATGCGACGGCGGCGGTGGACCGGGCGATTCAAACTTTGAAGAAGGATCTGGCGGGCAAGGTCGCCCGGGACGGTGGGGGCTGGGGCGACCATGTGGAAGAGGCGGCGGAAGCCTACAATGCCCGCCCGCATGCGGCCGTGACGGTGGCCCCGGAGGATGTGGAGACGATGCCGGCCGCGAGCTTCCGGGCCTACCAAGACAATGCTCAAAAGTTCAAGCACAATGACGAGCTGACGAGGAGCCGTCAGCGGCGGCTCGAGGAGGCGGGGGCGTTCCGGGCCCCCACCAATGCAGCGAGGAGCTTCCAGCCCCAGTACGGGGCGGTGCGGGAGGTTTCGAGCTACGATTCGATGACGGTGCGGGCCACCGACGGTTCGGAGACTCTGCTGAAGCATGCGCTTCCGGTGCCTCGCGGATCCGCGGAGCCTGACTCGGCGGCCGGTACCTTTAGCGGTGCGGCAGCTTAGAGATTTCAATCCCGGACCCACAGCACCGCCGTGAGAGCTTTGGACTCCACCCCGAGGAGCCAATTAATTAATTATTTAATTATTTTTTTTTGGCGGCGGGCTGGGGCTTGTCATTCTTGTCATTCCTGTCATTTGGAGAAGCTTGTCGGTAAGGTCCAGAAACGAACAAGATTCGCGGCTTTTTTAGCCTTGCCGACAAGCTTCTCCAAATGACAGGAATGACAAGAATGACAAGCCCCCAGCTCGCCCGAAAAAAAATAGATAATTAAATAATTAATTATGGCCTCTATCCCCGGGAAGTCGCAGGGCACTCGCACGACACTCGCAAGGCACTCACAGGGCAGCCTAGTAGGGATTTAGGGTTCTAGGGGTTCGGGTCGAGCGGGGTTCGGGAGTTAGGGACAACCGGGAGGCAGCTTGCGAGACGCGAGCCTGGAAGTTCTCGGAGGGCAGGGATTGCTCACAGTCACTCGCACAACACTCGCAGGGCACTCGCACAACACTCAAAGGGCACTCACAGGGCACTCGCAAGGCGCTCACAGGGCAGCCTAGTAGGGATTAGGGTTCTAGGGGTTCGGGTGCCGGGGGTTCGGGAGTTAGGGACAACCCGGGGAGCTTGCGAAGCGCGAGCCTGGAAGTTCTCGGAAGGACCTGTGCGTGCAGCAAAAAAACACTGGCAGGGCACTCGCAGGGGCACTCGCAGGGCACTCACAGGGCACTCACAGGGCACTCGCAGGGAGCCTGGAAGTTCTCGGAAGGACCTGGGCGCGCAGAAAGTGGCTCACAGTCACTCGCACAACACTCGCAGGGACCCAGAAGCATTTGTACTCACGACCAACCCATTTCTCTCCGGCTGCGACGGACTTGTCCACGGCACGCGAGTCGACTCACTGTACCCGAGATCGACCCGCCTGCTCTTAGATCTCCGCTGTGTGCGGCCGACTCACGAGGCTAGAAAACGCTGGGCTGCGTCTCGCCGCCACAACTCGGGCAACCCCTCCGTCACCAACGTTTGCAGCTCAAAGCGCTCGCGCACGAACATATCCGTCTCGATGCCGA